TCTCCTTTTAGCCTCTGGGCGTCCCTTGCCCTTCAGTTCATAGCCTGCTGGCCTCTCTGTAGCTAGCAGTGATTTCACTTTATTCCCCCAGAAGATTTTTTTTTCAAGTGAGAAAATGGGGATGAAGGAGGTGCTGCTCACATTGTTAGGCTGGGGCTCAGTCGGGGTGGGTCCCTGCTTCTGGCTCCCAAACAGACCCCGCAGCCAGCAGCTGGGCTCTCTCTGTGGGCTGGGGTGCCCTGGGTACAAGTGCAGCCTTCTCTTCCTAGGGGCGGCGGGCTCCCAGGAGGAGCTGCTGCGCTGGTGCCAGGAGCAGACGGCTGGGTACCCAGGTGTCCACGTCACTGACCTGTCTTCCTCCTGGGCTGACGGGCTGGCTCTGTGCGCCCTGGTGCACCGGCTGCGGCCCGCCCTTCTGTGAGTCAGGGATTGGGCTTGGGGGTCCCTGACGGACCCTCCCTCTCTTCCATGCCTCTGCACCTCCCCCTCCAGTGTGGAATGGCAGGGGATCGCCATGTAGGAGGTGGCACAGCCACTGAATCCCAGCACCATCGCTTGCTAATAATCCTGCTGTAGTCGCTTCACCTGCCTGGAGATCGTACTCCTGCCCCTCTGCCCATGAGCATGCACTCAACAGGGAGAGCTCTGAGTGCTGGAGGCCCCCCAAAGCCAGAAGCCGTTGGCATTGGGTGGGTGGTGGTGGGTGTGCAGTAAATAAAAACCCTTCCTGCCCTCGCCTCCCTTTCCCGCTCTTCCTTCCCTACTGCTGTCTCCCCTTTCCGTGGGGTCAAGTTCTGGTCTCCCACTGACCTTTCTCCCTGCTGCCCCATAGGGAACCCTCTGACCTCCAGGGAATGGGCGCTCTGGAAGCTACTTCTTGGGCGCTAAAGATGGCAGAGCATGAGCTGGGCATCACACCAGTGTTGTCTGCACAGGCGATGGTGGCAGGGAGTGACCCACTGGGCCTCATTGCCTACCTCAGCCACTTCCATAGTGCCTTCAAGAACATACCACACAACCCAGGTGAGCTGGGAGACTAGGGTGGGACGACAAGGGTGTGTGTGTGAGAGACGGGGACAGAACACAGCAAGGGAGAGCGCCCTATCAGGGACATCCTGGGAGAGGTATCCTTTTTCCCCTGGGCTGGCTCATAGCTCTCTCTTCAGGGGATATAGTATCGCCCCTGATCTCCACGACTCTCCTCACAGGCTCGGTCAGCCAAGGCTCCCCAGGCACTGCCAGCGCTGTACTATTCCTTGGCAAACTGCAGAGGACCCTGCAACGGACCCGGACTCAGGTGGAGAGTTTGGGTGGGGTTGGGCTGGGCAGTGGGGTTCTTGTGGGGGTCCCTGAGGTGGAGGATGACATCCAGAATGGGGGGAAAGGAGAAGTGGGGGCTCAGAGCCCATGCTTAGAATGTAGGACTTGTTGCAGGAAAATGGGGAGGATGCTGGTGGCAAGAAGCCTCGCTTGGAGGTAAATGCATGCAGGGGCTGGACAGTCCCTTCCCTGAGGTACTCTCCTACGTCCTGTCCCCCAGGTCTTGCTTGCTACCCAAGCTCCTGTACCCAACCCCCCATCCAGTCTCACGCCTTTCCCTTCCAGTTCTTTCATCTGCACACATGACCCTGTCCCTCTAGCTCTCGGCCTGAGCACTTACCTTTTCAGGTGGAGGCTGAGACCCCAAGTACTGAGGAGCCACCTGTCCCAGAGCCTGATGAATCAATGACACCGCCATCCCAGCAGCAGGACGTGAGCACAGGGGCCCTGTCTGCAGGCAAAGGCCTGGGAAGGGCAGGGAGGTGTGTTTCAGGGGAGGGGCAGACCTTGGCTTTGATTCCAGCTGACCTGGGACCTGGGGGTCACTGCAGGCCAGTGCTGAGGATCTGTGTGCAATTTGTGGGCAACGGCTCTATATCCTGGAACGCCTCTGTGCTGATGGCCATTTCTTCCACCGGAGCTGCTTCCGCTGTCATATCTGTGAGGCCACATTATGGCCAGGTGGCTATAAGCAGCACCCAGGAGATGGTGAGTGGGCCTGGGAGGCATTCAGAGGGACTTTGCGTTTGGCCCTACCAGTCAGGGTCAGGAGCTTGAAAGTGGAGAGGAACTGGGGTGCTGGGCATGAGGTAGAAAAACAAGCTGAAAATTACACTTTCTTCTCCCAAACTCATTCTTCTCTGTCCCCTCCAAAGCCCCAAATGTGGGGTTCTGAGAAACCAGGAGGCTGGTAGAAATTCACCAGCAAATGCAGTCTTGTCACCCCCACCTTCCTTGATAGACTGAGTATCTGATCCTTGGTCTGCCTACATCTGATGCCTCTTTCCCTCTCCCACCTCCCCAGGATATTTCTACTGCCTCCAGCATCTGCCTCAGACAGGCCACAAAGAAGATGGCAGCGAAAGAGGTCCTGAGAGTCAGGTAAAAGCTGTGGAAGTGTGTGGTGGCGGGGTGAGGAGGAAAGGGCTCCCCGGCCCAGCGGAGTGCTACTAGAGTGTAAACTCCACGATGGCAGAGACCTTTGTCCCGTTTTATTTACTGATGTATTTCAAGTATCCAGAACAATGCCTGACACTGTTCAGTAAATGGCACAAACGGATGAATGCCAGGGCCCACATCTGTCTCAAGGGGCAGCCTCAGCCCACGCTGGACAGGTCACTGACCAGAACATTTGGTGGCTTTTCTAGGACCTTCTCATGCCGAGTGAGAATGACATGCCCTCAGGCCCTGCGACTCCCATAGCCCTCCACCAAGGGACCAGTCCTGTCCCAGGCCCCAGCCAGCCCACCCGTCGACTGATCCGCCTCTCCAGCCCAGAACGCCAGCGTTTATCCTCCCTTCATCTCACCCCTGACCCAGAAGTGGAGCCTCCACCCAAGCCCCCCCGAAGCTGCTCTGCCTTGGCCCGCCAAGCCCTGGAAGCAAGCTTCAAGGGCTGGGGAATGCCAGTCCAGCGCCCTCAGGGTAGGGGATGGGCTGGGTGGTTTCTGGATTCCTGGACAGGGATATGGGGCATGGGGAGGGAGGTCATGGGGATTCCAGCCCATGTCCATGTCCTACTCAGTTCTTGAGGCCATGGAAAAGGGGGAAGAAGAGAGTTCCTCCTCCAGTGAAGAGGAAACAGAGGAAGAGGAAGATGTGCCTTTGGACTCAGACATGGAACAGGTGAGCGGGAGGAACCTGGCCACCTATTCTGCCCAAGCCAGCACACATCCACTAAACACACGCCTCCCTTCACCCAGGAGAAACCCACAGCACCCAGCCTCTTCTGAGCCCAAATGTCTCCAAATGCCTTCTCACCTGGCCTGACTCTTTCATGTCTCTAAGCCTCTACGTTTTCTATCAGAACTTACCCCACTTCCAGCCTAGGGTCTTTCTGGTCCTTCTTAAATGGAGCTTCCCCAACCCCTATCCACCTGACTCTGTCACAGTTTCTGAGGAACCTGGCTAAGAACTCAGGCACCATGAACAATTATCCAACATGGCGTCGGACTCTGCTGCGCCGGGCCAAGGAGGAGGAGATGAAGCGGTTCTGCAAGGCTCAGGTGCGGCCTCAGGGTTCCCAGAGGTTCTGATGGGGTCAGAGTCCTTAGACTGGGGATCAGAGCTCCTCTGGGACTCTGTTCTTGAGCCATCACCAGACTCCTGGGCTCCCTGTCTTATACCCTTCAGGCCATCCAGCGGCGACTAAATGAGATCGAGGCTGCTCTAAGGGAGCTGGAGGCCAGAGGAACGGAGCTGGAGCTGGCTTTGAGGAGCCAGAGCAGTGAGTGAAGACAGGGGAGGGATAAACTAGACCACCTCTGCCTCCTGGCACTGTGTTCTGCCCCCTGCAACCCCCAAACTGCTAGGTCTGGCTCACGGCAGGCTCTATGCCTTATGCCATGACGCCTATGATCCTGGCTGGAGGCCTGACTGGCCCCCTCTCTTCCTTATCAGGTTCCCCCGAAAAGCAGAAGGCATTATGGGTGGAACAGCTGCTACAGCTCGTTCAGAAGAAAAACAGCCTGGTGGCCGAGGAGGCTGAGCTCATGATCACGTAAAGGGTGTCAGGGCTGGGGAGTGGGGGACAGTGGCATTGAGTCAGGCAGCCCCCAGCCAGGTCTTTGCTCACCCTAGGCATCTGTGCTTTTTCTATTCCTGCCCTCCACAGAGTGCAGGAGCTGAACTTGGAGGAGAAACAGTGGCAGCTGGACCAAGAGCTGCGAACCTACATGAACCGGGAAGGTAGGCAGAATGTGGGGAGAGGCTGGTATTTGCACAAGCCTCGTGACTGCAGATACTGCCCAGCAATAGTCATCCAGTCTGAGTACCTCTGAGGCTGAAATGCCTCCTGAATTGCCTCTTGAACTGAAGGACGCCAGAGGATGGGGCTTCAAGTCCCTACTCTGCACCTTCAGTCAGAGTGTACAACTGAGCTTTTACACCAGATTTCCTTTAAGAATGATGTTGCAGCTAAACAATACTAGAAAACCATTAGTGTTGATAAGCCAATCTCACAGGGCGGGAAACAGCAGGGGCTGTAGAAGTCACACAGGCCAGGCCTGTGCCTCTTGTGCCTCTCTGCCGCATCTGTCCTCTTTAAGTTTCATCTCCTCCCTCCAGAAACCCTAAAGACAGCTGCCGATCGGCAGGCTGAGGACCAGGTCCTGAGGAAGCTACTGGATGTGGTGAACCAGAGAGATGCCCTCATCCGCCTCCAGGAGGAGCGCAGGCTCAGTGAGCTGGCCTCAGAGCCTGGGGTCCAGTGCTAGAAGACGCCTGACCTATCTGCCATGAAGACCGCCTTACCCCAGGACAGCATCGTCCTATGTTCATCTGGGCTGCCTGGGAGAGGGCCTCATTGTTTACAATAAAGTTTCTGACATAAACAGGACTTCTGGCTAGCCGCAGGTGTGAGGTGGGGACTGAGCAGGGAGGGCAGACAGGTGGGAGCCCAAAGGTCTACACTGTGACAGTCACACTGACCCCTGGCCCCAGTCACTGCCTCTACAAGGAAATAAGCCGAGCCACAAAAGTGTCAAGCTTTATTGTTCCTCAACTCTGTCTCCCTCCTGCTGCCCTAGAAGCAGGGCTGGCTGGGATTCTGGGCCCAAGTCCTGGGCCTCCCTTGCCCTTCCCAGCACATGCTGAAGCTCGGTCCGGGTCTTACACAAGCTCTTGGCCTCCTGCACGTGGAAGAGGTAGAAGGCACCTGCCCCCAGCACCAGTCCAACACTGGGGGTCCAGAGCAGTAGAGCAGCTTCCCTGATCCATCCTCCGGCCGCCAGGGCACACAGCAACGCCAGGAGAAGAAGCCCTAGCCCAATTGCATAGCCGGCCACGGTGGCCCACCAGCGAGCCTGAGCCATGCCCTGGTCCACTTCTGCCCAGGCCTCCCTTAGCACACTGGTCAATGGCGAGCTCTCTGCTGGTCCTACAACAAGGCAGGACAGTGGGGAGGCAGAATAATGGTCAGAGTGGAGGGGGTGCCTGTGGTCAGAAGGGCCAAAGAAAAGGATGTGGATGACTCACCATGGGTAGGGCTGGGGTTGTGCTGGGGGGGGCTGTGTCTCACACACAGGGTAGCCATCAGGGCCTCATGATCAGAGAAGGGGGGGCCGCTGTAAGGGTCATGGCCTGTAGTAGTTTTGAGAGTCTTACAGGAGATGTATAGCCCAGATACTGCCTAGGAAAAGGGCCAAAGAGAAACTTCTATCTGGAAGTATGTTTCCAGAGAACCAGTTCCTGGCTATCCATTCTCCAGCTGCCAGTAATGTAAGACTAGACCAGCTGGACAAAGGATCAGCACAGGCTGGTGAGACATGAAGAGACACGGAGGGTGCGACGGGGAGAGGCCTGACCTTATAAAGTACATAGTCGATGCGGATGCCCAAGGGAAATGGCCCCAGGTCCTGTTGCTTGACGTAGCAGTTCTTGGGTACCATTGTACAGCCTTCTTCAGAACCCTAAGTGAAGAGTGGGCTTGAGTGAGGATGCAGGGGAAGGAGGAGGGAATGATGCTGAGGGTGCAGGTGGAGAAATAATTAGACAGGTCCTCACCTTGAAGTCCCGGGTCTCCAGATAGGCATCATGCAGCCCGGTCCACTCTTTCAGCAAGCGGCAGCCCAGGTCCTTTGGGTGCAAGTTGAGGTCCCCACACAAGAGAACCACATCAGCCTTCTTGGATGTGTGGCTGGAGGAACCAAGATGGTGAGGCAGGAATTCTTCCCTCATCAGTTCTGCCCTAAAAGTGGGACCTTACAGCCACCCTTCAGTCCCTGGATCCCACCCTATTTTCCCTGTTAAGCCCAGGCTCACACACTGGATGAACTGGGCCAATTCCCAAGCTTGGGCCACGCGATGTGCTAGGTAAATGTCCTTCTGTCGATTGTACTCAGCATGGAGCTGCGCAAGATAAAGGAGACAGTAACAGGTGAGACTCAAGGTCCCAAAGGCAGGTATAAATCAAGTTTGTCACCTGGCATGGTGCTTGGTAAAATATGTGTGAACTTTGCCTACTGGCCTTAGGAATCCTGCCCCTACAACTCACCTCAAGGCAACTCCACCAAAGGCGTCCCCTCTCTCCCTCCCAGGACCAGGCTGCCTCTCCCAGCCCTAAGCACTGTGGGCTTCACTCACGTGGGTCACGTAGGCATTGAGCACCAATCCACTTAGATGGAGTACCAGCAGCCCCACAGCCTTCCCACAGAACCAGTCACAATGATGGATCTGCAGGCAGGAGTGGGACAGAACTCAGAGCACTGCCCCCCTCTCTCTGCCCATCCCTTGCAGTCCTAGGAAGGTTACCTCCTTTACCACGTGTTAGTGGAGGTGGGGGAGGGTGGTGGAAGAGTTCCAGATCAGGCTCACCATGTAGGGGTAGCCATTGAGGGTGAAGACATGCTGGGTGAATTCCTGGATCGGGTGTTTGGAGAAGACACAGAGACCGCTGCCAATGATGCCGCTGAAAGCCAAATCCTGGTTAGCAGTCACAAAGCAGGCAGGTAAATACCCAGGCCTTTCCCCCTCCCTTGTCTCCCAGCTCTTAGCAGCTACATTTTTTTTCTCTCTCTGCAGCTGATGGAAGCTCACAAAGTGTTAGTTGTTTGTGTGGGGTGATAAGACGGCCTGATAGTAAGTCTGATGAGCTGCAGAGCTAGATCTTCCTCATTCCACCTTCTCCTGCTTCCACACCCAGAGGAGAGGATGCTGGGGGAGAGGAAGCAGGGTGCAGGCAGCATAGGGAGGAGGGGCTGGCAGGGCCAAGCACCTCAAGGTGTGAAACTAGGCTTCCAGGCCAGTTGGCTGCTTACCTCCTGAAGTAGTGTGCAGCTGGGTAGGTGGGCAACAGCTTCTGTCTCAAGTACTGGAAGTCCTGTTCACTCCACACCTGGGGGAAGGGGTTAAAGATACCTTCCTGGCCCTTCCCCCTGGGAGAGCGCCCCCACACTAGCTGCCCCCCTGCAGCCCGGTTCCGCATGGCCCCACCTCCTCCAGCAGAGCTAGGTCGAAGCTCTCCAAGTTTAGAAAGTCTCCCAGGCGCTTCACGCGGTCGGCGCGATGCTTGCTCAGGTACGGAATGCCCCTGAGGACGAGACGCGCAGGGGGGAGATGACGGCTGCGGGCGCTCGGCGCTCCGGGGCAGTACCGGAGCTGGGGCCAGGGGCCGGCCGTGGAGGTGCGGGTTGCCCCCCGGACCCCGAAGCTGTAGGGCAGGGGAGCGCCGTGGCCCGGATGTGAGGAAGGCCTCCTTCCTCTGGCAGTGCGGGTGCGGGCGGGACGCGGGGCTCACTCACCAGCAGTTGAGGTTAAAGACCCTCAGTCGCAGGGTGAAGTTGGGCTTCATGGCGGGGACACTCGGCGGCGCGGGACGGTTCGGCCTCCAGAGCGACGGCCGCGGCGGGGACACTGGCGGGCGGCGCTGCTCCCGGGGCACTGCGTACAGGTGGCCGCCCGGCTCCCGCGCTCCCCGGAAGGCCGCGGCGCTCAAGTGCACGCGCCTGGGGGCGGATTCCCGCGTTACCCAGGCAACCGGCCGGCGGGGCCCCAATCTGGCGGCGCGCTAACCCGGAAAGGCGCTCTGCGGTGAAGACCGGTGCTGACCGAAGGCAACGGCCGTGACGGAGGACCCTGGGCGGGGGCAGAGGGATCCCAGAGGCGAGGGCGGGTGGGGGCTCCCAGAGGAGGTTCCAGGGAGCGGCGAGCCGGACTAAGGCACGCGGGACGTGGGATCCGCGTTCCTTTTCGCCGGAGCTCGTCCCTGGTGGCGGCCGCCTATGGGTCCTCTCCCGCCTCTCTATCGGCTCAACAGCAACAGGCGCAAAGTTGAGGAAAGGCCGGGACTTCGCCGACCGGGGCCCTGCCCCTCGCCCGCCCCGCCCCCTCTTCCCCGCGAGCGGCGGGGGCGGGGCCGCGCGGTGGTTGTCCTGGCGACACGCAGTGTTTGTGACCCGAGGAGTCCCCGCGCGCAGGCATGGCGAGCCAGCAGCCGTCGGTTCCGTGCATCTCGCGGTCGCCACCCGAGCAGCCGCTTCAGGTGAAGGTGGTAGGGCTTTTCAAGAGCTCCAGCTTTCAGATCGCGAAGAGCGCCGCTGAGGTAACTGCGAAGACACCGCAAGTGCGACCCGCTTCCCGGTCTTGCACCACCTGGTGGCGGGGGTCGAGGTTCAGGGAGGGGTCGTCCCGGCTGGGGATGGCTGTGTCGGAATGGATCGGAGCGTGCAGGTGGCAAGTGCCGGTCTGGGCGGGAGTTCCACTTCGAGAAGGGCTGCCTTTAACGGGAGATTCGAGTGAAGGAATCGTTCAGAACCTTGCTGGGAATGAAAGGTGATTCCTGTCTATACATTAACACACATTTTATTCCACACTAATTTTTAATTGAAATCATAGCTTTTGAAACTCCGTGGGAAAAATATTACCATATAAATTCATAAAATACTTAACAAGCAACATTATCATTAATTGAATGTCACTGAAAACACAGTTGATTAGATCTGACTACTAGATATTTATACTAAATTAAAAATATTCTAATCTAAAAAAATATTACTATATAACTAGCTGATTTTTTTTTACAAACTCCTTCCCCAAATGGTTTTTGAAAGCTATTCATTCGGGGGTGGGGGAGTTGTTTTTTGTTTTTTCCTTTAAATTTTCTATAGCAGTCACTACATCCCAGTCGAATTAGCTGCTTAAGGGATTTCTTAACAAATGACCCCCAAGTGCTCTGGAGAATCCAGACATTTCTTTGTAAACATGCAGAACACTGCAAAATGAAAAACACTTTAAGTAACTGAAAGAATTTGGCCAGATCTGCAATGCTGCAGCACTCCTATAACCTGAACACAGGAGAAATGTAGAAGTATGTGAAATATTGAAATGTAAAATTCAGCATGTCTTTGGGGTTTGTTCCAGAAATGCTTTTATAAGATTAAGCCAAGCTTCTCTCCTTCAAAACTACACTAGACTACAGGACAAAGCCTTATTAAAGTTTGTATCTCCCAAAGTACCCAGCTGGATCACTTCACACAAAATGTTCCCAAGTAGAAGAAATCTTAAGAATTTCCTAACTTCTTGCCTGCTCCAAGTCCACAGAGTTACAGATTTGAGTTTGTATCAAATCAGGAAATAGTGACTAATTTGTGAAGTAGGTGAAGTCTTAAGATGAAGAGAACAAGTGATAAGAAGTCTGTGAAAATAGTCTGTGTTAGCTGGGCTGATGGGATCAGCAAAGTTATATGGCCCACAACTGTATTTAATGAGTTGGAGGGATTTTTTTCTCTTGCTTTTTCTTAGCTCCTTATCTGGAGGAGCACGTTTTCTTCACAGTGCAGAGAAGATGTTGGCAGATCTTTTTCTGTAAAGTCCATGCATTAAACTGTTGAGGCCTCTGGAGCCACAGGCTCTGTCATGACTACGCAACTCTGTCCTGTGCAAAAGCAGCCACAGAAAGTGTGGAAATGAATGGTGGTTTTCCAGTAAGACTTTGATTCTGGACAGTGAAATTAGACTTGTATATAATTTCACATGATGTGAAATGATTCTTCTTGTGATTCTGTTTTAACTGTGTAAAAATCTAAAAATTATTCTTAGTTCTCAAGTCTTAGAAAAATAGGCAGTGGTCTAGATTTGGCCGACTGATCAGCTTGCCAACCCCTGTCAGAGGGGACACTAAGTCAAGAAAACAATGTCTTTATTATATTAATCATGTTGTTTTTCACTTAAGCTTTTGCCTACTGTAGCTCTATATGAGTATGAAAACATATCAGTGTAAATTCAGTTACTTCTGTGTTAATAAAGGATCCTTGAATATATTTCCAACATGATCACTTGCAGGCAATCTCTGATACCTAATTAACTGATAGATTTATAAAGAGTAGTATTGCATAATACAGTCAATTCTGGAACAAATTATGAAGAAAGTATGATTAAGTATGCTTACTTTGAAAACTCTTAGGCTTATCAGTTACACCAGGTGGTCCCTCAGTGAAAAACAGCAGTCATCTTGCATGACTGCCTCAGAGCACAGACACTAGAATTGAGAAAAAGGACGCATCAGCTGTTGGTTGGGTGCAGTGGTCTAGGAAGGCAATGGCCAGATTGCTGTTGCCATCTGCAATGCTGCAGCACTCCTATAACCTGAACACAGGAGAAATGTAGAAGTATGTGAAATATTGAAATGTAAAATTCAGCATGTCTTTGGGGTTTGTTCCAGAAATGCTTTTATAAGATTAAGCCAAGCTTCTCTCCTTCAAAACTACACTAGACTACAGGACAAAGCCTTATTAAAGTTTGTATCTCCCAAAGTACCCAGCTGGATCACTTCACACAAAATGTTCCCAAGTAGAAGAAATCTTAAGAATTTCCTAACTTCTTGCCTGCTCCAAGTCCACAGAGTTACAGATTTGAGTTTGTATCAAATCAGGAAATAGTGACTAATTTGTGAAGTAGGTGAAGTCTTAAGATGAAGAGAACAAGTGATAAGAAGTCTGTGAAAATAGTCTGTGTTAGCTGGGCTGATGGGATCAGCAAAGTTATATGGCCCACAACTGTATTTAATGAGTTGGAGGGATTTTTTTCTCTTGCTTTTTCTTAGCTCCTTATCTGGAGGAGCACGTTTTCTTCACAGTGCAGAGAAGATGTTGGCAGATCTTTTTCTGTAAAGTCCATGCATTAAACTGTTGAGGCCTCTGGAGCCACAGGCTCTGTCATGACTACGCAACTCTGTCCTGTGCAAAAGCAGCCACAGAAAGTGTGGAAATGAATGGTGGTTTTCCAGTAAGACTTTGATTCTGGACAGTGAAATTAGACTTGTATATAATTTCACATGATGTGAAATGATTCTTCTTGTGATTCTGTTTTAACTGTGTAAAAATCTAAAAATTATTCTTAGTTCTCAAGTCTTAGAAAAATAGGCAGTGGTCTAGATTTGGCCGACTGATCAGCTTGCCAACCCCTGTCAGAGGGGACACTAAGTCAAGAAAACAATGTCTTTATTATATTAATCATGTTGTTTTTCACTTAAGCTTTTGCCTACTGTAGCTCTATATGAGTATGAAAACATATCAGTGTAAATTCAGTTACTTCTGTGTTAATAAAGGATCCTTGAATATATTTCCAACATGATCACTTGCAGGCAATCTCTGATACCTAATTAACTGATAGATTTATAAAGAGTAGTATTGCATAATATAGTCAATTCTGGAACAAATTATGAAGAAAGTATGATTAAGTATGCTTAATTTGAAAACTCTTAGGCTTATCAGTTACACCAGGTGGTCCCTCAGTGAAAAGCAGCAGTCATCTTGCATGACTGCCTCAGAGCACAGACACTAGAATTGAGAAAAAGGACGCATCAGCTGTTGGTTGGGTGCAGTGGTCTAGGAAGGCAATGGCCAGATTGCTGTTGCCCCCTTCTGCTACCCCTGGTCCCAAGGCAGGGTACACTCCTGGCCTGGCTTTCTCCCCCTCGGACTATCCACCCTTGAGGAAGTGTGCTAAGCCAGTGTCCCCTTAGACTATGACAGAAGCAGCCAGCTGACACTTTTCCCTGTTGGTTCATTTACTCCTCAGACCTGCTCAGAAAAGTGCTGCCTAAATATTATTGCTTCAACTGCCTTCTCTTGCTTTAGAAGAAGACAAACTATAACATTAAAAGGAGCATTAACATTAAAAAAAAAACTTAACAGGTATTGTTAACTAGAAAGAATTTTCTCTGATGCATACAGACAAAACAAAATAGATTAAGTCAATACATGCTCAATATCTAGACCAAGATATATTTAATATTTACTTCTCTTTTCCCCAGGGGCTATAACCACAACCATATCTTTCGGTTATTCTCTATGTCAGTGAATTAAAGTAATAACTTTTTTTTTTTTTTTAGTTAAAAGTACCCATGGCTCCACTGAGGTGTAGTAAGAGTTAATTTAGGGAAAAACTGGTCCTAAAGGAACATGGCAGATCACAAAACTGTTGGCATAAGCTCATTTGTTCACTTGTTTATGCAGTTGCTATGTGTGGATGGTCTACTATGTACCAGATATTGAGGCCAGTGGGAAACTAAGACATAGTCTTTGCCCTCGGGGAGCTTATTCTCTTCAGATGAGAGACAAATAAGTGTGGCCTGGGGAGGGACTTAATAGAGGTAAGCACAGGGCCCTCTGGGAGCTGGCAAGGGGCATCTAAGCCAGACTTTGCGACTTGGGTGTACACTGTGTAAAACTTCCTGAGCACTCCATAAAAATCAGGGGGAATGATTTCTACTTTAAAAGAGAATGTACTCTAAAATAATATTCTGTTTTGAAACCTAGAGTCTGAAGAGTAATTATCCATCCAAATTTGAAGATCCTATCATAATTCCTGTTCAAGAATTTGCATGGCATCAGTATCTACAAGAGAAAAAAAGGGTAAAGGATATTTTGGGTATGGGAAATGAGCAAAGTTTTGCCTGAATTATTTACCTATGCATTGCTTTGGAAAAACTGAAGCAGTAATTTTCATACAACTAGATTTTATTTCTCTAAATTATGCACTTTGCCTAAATTGTTTCAGTCATTTTACCAAGCTGATATTAAGAAAAAGTAAAACACTTCTAGGATTTTCTTTTGGAAGGCAAGCAATAAAGGTAAGTTTGACACTGTCAATGCTGCTATTTACTCTTGCTGATGACTACCCCCCTTTCCCTGCATATCACTTAGTCCTACTTCCTGTGACACCCTGGCACTCAGGTCACTGTGGCTTGGCACTGTTCTAGGCCTGAATTCTGGAAGGTTTCAGTGGTGTCCAGCACAGATACAGCAGGAGAGCATGTGGGGTTCCAGGGGAGCTCTGGGGGCAGGCATCAGCTTCCCACAGGATAACCATGTCCAAATGGGAGCTTCCTTCTCCGCACTCTCCCCGGTAACAGTACCCCTTGAGGACCCCAGACCCTAAGGCTGGCAAGATGATCCAGAGATGGCAGACTGGTTGAGTGCCAACCCTAATTAACTGGTAGTGCTGCCTGGACCGTGCGATTTGAAGGATTCTGAGGTGGCATCCTGGCTCTGTTACAGCTCGTGTTGGGGGCGGACTGGAATGGATACATATCCTGGCCCAGTCCTGTAGAGTCCCAGTCTTGGTTTCCCTGCCACACCCCATCTCTCAGTGGCTGATGAGATCGCATTTCTCCTGATGAGAGCAGTTTTGATTGTCCTGTGTGTGACTGCACGAGGATGTCCTGTGATTATCATGCAGACTGTGTTGCTTTACAAGATCACTGTCTCAGTCACATGAATAGTGCAAGATAAAGTCACGAATACCATTTAAGTCTCATACCATTTTCACAGCAACAGTACATTTTCATTGTAATTCAAATAGAAATATAACAAACACTTAACCTCTGGTGCTTATTATATGCCAGGCTCTATTCTAATGACTTCTGTAAATATTAACTAATCATTACAGCATCTATGGTGACCAGTGGTTCTGGTTTGCCTGGATTGGAGGGGCTTCCTGGGATGCACAAATTTAATTGCTAAAGCTGGGATTGTTGTTGTTATTCAGTTGCTAAGGCATGTCTGACTCTGTGAACCCCATGGACTGTAGTCCCCCAGGCTTCCCTCTCCTTCACTATCTCCTGGAGTTTGTTTGGTCCATTGAGTCGGTGATGCCATCCAACCATCTCATCCTCTGTTGTCCCCTTCTCCTTCTGCCCTCAATCTTTCCCAGCATCAGGGTCTTTTCCAGTGAGTTGGCTCTTTGCATCAGGTGGTCAAAGTACTGGGGCTTCAGCTTCAGTATCAGTCCTTCCAATGAATATACAGTTTTAAGCTGGGATGGTCTGAGGCAAACCCAGACAGTTGGGCATTCTAATGTAAAACAATGTTTTTCTTAATTTTTATCATCAAACTTCCTAAACTGCCTATCATACCATGTTCTCCACCTACAAGAGAGCCATGATTTCATGCTTTGAGGTTTGCACCCATTCTCTTCCATATTCCCACCATACTGGGAAGACTGGAATGGGTTCCATTCCGCAGTTTCTGACCCTTGACAGTCTGGGTTGCTGACGTTGAGATGTTTTGTGTTCTCTTCTGCTTTTCTCACGGGGGCTGAATGAGACTTCCTAGATCATTACTGCTGCTTCTTCCCACATACCCTTTAACTCCTGTCTTTCTTTTCTCCACCTCCACCCGATCCTCATCTCCTGGATACTTGCCACCTTAACCTCTTCTTCCTCTTCAGTCTTTTGTTCTCCTACTGTCATGGGACTTCCCTGGTAGTCCAATGGCTAAGGCTTTGAATCGCCAGTGCAGGGGGCCTGGGTTTGATTCCTGGTCAGGGAACTAGAGCCCCACGTGCTGCAACTAAGAGTTTGCATGCTACAACTAAAGATCCTGCATACCACAACTAAAAGGTCCCGTGTGCTACAACTGAGATGCAGCACAGCCAAATACGTAAATATTTTTTTAAAAAGAGCACTGTCTTATGTTATACATAGTGCTTCTTAGCACATATGAGGTTAGTCTGAGCTGGCCTTATGCTTCAGCAGAATGTAACGCCAACTCTGAGGGATGGCTTCTGAACCTTCGGGAAGGCCTTTTCCCCACCTCCAAAAAAGGGAGCATCATACATCTTAGTGCTGGGAAGTCCTAGAAACCATCGGGTCCAGCCCGCTATCTTGAGGCAGGTGATGAGGGCTCCTTAAATGTAGAAGACACCCAGACGAGGCATGTAATGACCTTCAGCTTCCCGATAAAGTCTGTCTGCTCCTACATTTCTCCTACCAGGCTAACTAAAACATCCACAGTTAAACTTTTCCTCTCCTTTTTCAAGTTTTATGTCCTATAACATGTGAGACCCCTGATAAATGTAAACATTCCAGGGAGTACTGACTCAGTGGCTCTCTCAGTGACTGACAGTTCAGCATGAACAAGCGAGGAACTGGAAGTGAGCTCCTCCTGAGACAGGAGCCAGGAATGGAACATGTTGGCAGCCAAAGGCAACACTGTTCCCCAAACTGGCATTTCTTCAAGTGCGGTCTCCAGACCAGCAGCAGCAGCATCTCATGTTCAGTTCAGTCGCTCAGTCACGTCTGACTCTTTGCGACCCCATGAACCACAGCACACCAGGCCTCTCTGTCCATCACCAACTCCTGGAGTCCACCCAAACCCATGTCCATCGAGTCGGTGATGCCATCCAACCATCTCATCTTCTGTCGTCCCCTTCTCCTCCTGCCCTCAGTCTTTCCCAGCATCAGGGTCTTTTCCAATGAGTCAGCTCTTCGCATCAGGTGGCCAAAGTATTGGAGTTTCAGCTTCAACATCCATCCTTCCAATGAACAGCCAGGACTGATCTCCTTTAGGATGGACTGGTTGGATCTCCTTGCAGTCCAAGGGACTCTCAAGAGTCTTCTCCAACACCACAGTTCAAAAGCATCAATTCTTCGGCGCTCAGCTTTCTTCACAGTCCAACTCTCACATCCATACATGACCACTGGAAAAACTATAGCCTGACAGAATGTGGTCCACTGGAGAAGGGAATGGCAAACCACTTCAGTGTTCTTGCCTTGAGAACCCCATGAACAGTATGAAAAGGCAAAAAGATAGGACATTGAAAGATGAACTCAGATGGGTCAGTAGGTGCCCAATATGCTACTGGAGATCAGTGGAGAAACAACTCCAGAGAGAATGAAGGGATGGAGCCAGAGCAAAAACAGTACCCAGTTGTGGATGGGACTGGTGATAGAAGCAAGGTTCAATGCTGTAAAGAGCAATATTGCATAGGAACCTGGAATGTTAGGTCCCTGAATCAAGGCAAATTGGAAGCATCTCACAGGATGCTGGTTAAAAAAAAAAAATGCAGTCTCAGGCCCCATCCCAGAATCAGAAACTTGGGGTGGGGCTCAGGAATCTGTGATTCTGACTGCCCACTAAAACTCGAGAACAGCTGTCCCAGAAGATGCATGGTTTTGCCAGGACTGGCACTGGGTAATAATAAACCAGATTTCCTCCAAGGTGACGTTACCCAGCGGCCACACACTGAAGTTTAGCACATTGGCCGTCACTGTTGTGTGGATGAAAACACTTACACACTTAATTTTGAAGGGCTTAGGACTTAAAAATGTTAAAGAAGGTGAGTTCCCTTCCTCATGGCCCCTCACGTGTCCCAGAAACCCTGCTGACCCTCAGGAGGCATTTCTTCACCTGGTCTGACTTCCCTCCATCAAAAAGCACTCTCCACCCTTGGCATTGAAAACTGTGTCTTATTTAGGACCCCTAACCAAGTATGCATACAGTAAAATGTGCTCCAGAAATGAAGCTAGAGGACTGCATTTTGTTTTTACATTCATATATAACAAGTATGCTATGCACACTGACTTTTATTACCAGATTACCATCTATTTTCTAAGATTGTACCATTTTAAAGATTACTTTTAGGTTATTGATTTCAGCACCTTCAGAGTTTTGAAATGTTCTTAAATTCCCTTTGAGAGCAAAATTCTGAAAGATAGCAAAAAATATATTTTTTTAAAGGTTCAGTCCTGGAATTGATCGAAGCTCTGGCTTGTGGGTTTAGCAAGGTTCACCCCCCCCCCCTGTGCCCCATTAATTTTTTTTTTTTTTTTGGCCCTTTTCCTTTACAGGAACTTAAAAATGAAGTCTGGGAATATTCTTCTTATGTGATGTGTTTTATTAATGATGAGCTCCTGGGTGATGCACTTGATCTACAGAAATGGGCCCACAAAGTGTGGGATATAGTTGATTTTAAGCCTCCTGCACTTTACGAAGCACTTACTATGGATTATTCTGAAAAATTCTTAAGAGACACCAAGGCAAGTTACACTAATTTTTTTAAAAAGGAAAATAGTGGAATCTTGGAGCATTTATATTGATTAAGCACTAATTACTGATAAACCTAGCAAAGGGAATATAACAGAGTACAGGATTAGGTTAAGTTCTCAATGAACCTGTGATCTCTAGTTGCAGAGACCTGGTGGGGTTTGGCTTGGTGGTGTGTAAAGCCAGCCTAGCTCACAGCAGGTAGATGACACAGGCAGAAGAGCATCCCTGTTCAAACATTTCGACTCCCCACGAGAAGCTTATGTGTGTTAATTGGCATCTATTTAAAAATATTAAGACCTCCTCCCTCAGACAAAGACAAACCTATCCTTTACTCACTTTGCGCAGGCAATATTTTGATTAGTGTGCTGTAACACCTAAGTGGGAGCTACTGCACGGAGAGACTGGCAAGTGTGAGAAGAAGGGTGGCACCCAGGTGGCAGGAGGAGGGGCAGACAGGCTCTGGCTCTGGGGGCTTTCCAGTGGTAGGGGACAGTCATGAAGCCTGAGGTCCAGCAAGCAAGAGACAGACATCAGGGTGGAATGGGCAACCTCTGCGAGGGGGTAAATGTATGCCATTTTGCTCAGGAACCTTGTTGCGGCAACGGCTGCCACATGCTGAAAATCATGTCATGCCCATGGTGGCCTGTGCCTACATAAAGACCCAGAGCTAGGATCTGAGCCATGCAATGGCAAAGACCTTGTCTCGTTCACCCTTGTTCAACCACTGCCTTGAACAGAACCTGAAACATAGGAGGTGCTCAGTGAATATTTTGTTGAATAAACAGTACACTTACAAAATGCTCTAAACTGTAAAGTGTGGAAAGGAATTTAACATTAATAGCAGTTCATTTCCAAAGGGCCAGGAGTCTCAAAGTACATGGTGTACTCTGGGGATGGCAGAGGACAGCAAGGAGGCCAGAATGAGTGGGAAAGGAGGCTGGGGAAATGAGAGTACCAGTTGGGATTCTTGCTGCCAGCAGTACCAAGCTGTTCTGATTAACTTAAGGAGAAAAGGCATGTACTGAAGGGATGTTGGTAAATCCACAACTGACAGGAAAGTTGGAGAGCCAGCTTTGGAAAGCAGGCAGGAACCGAGGGAGACCTGGCAGCAGGAAAACATGCCCAGAGTCACGCCCCAGGAAGGTGCAGCCGGTGTGCTGCTGGGGGTGCTGCCGGGGGTGCCTGCTGGCCCTCAGGTCTCCCTGCCGCCTTCACTGGAGCATAACTTCTCTGCTCTCCTTGGGTCTGTGTCGCTCTCCAGAGGTCGAAGGTCCCAGGCAGAAGCACCTGACTAGTCAAGCCCAGGTTATGTGCCCACACCCTGGCTCTCACATGGTGGGGAGAAAGAGAATGTTCTGCAGAGGCTGGTGCAACCCTGGGAGGAGTTTCCCAAACAGGAAAGGTGCTTTCCTTTCCTATTTTTTTTGTTTTATAACAACAACAACAACAAAAAAAAAAACCCCAAAACCAGGTCCACTAAAAAAAGGTTGAACTTACTGTCCACTCTTAACCAGGGAGTTAGATTTTACCTAGAGGAAAGCAGGCCAACAGAAGTTTTCATCAGAAGTATGACATAACCTCCTTTGGTGGGTTTTTTTTTTTAATTTTAAAATTTATTTATTTTTCCCAATTATTTTTATTAGTTGGAGGCTAATTACTTTACAGTATTGTAGTGGCTTTTGCCATACATTGACATGAATCAGCCATGGATTTACATGTGTTCCCCATCCTGAACCCCACTTCCACCTCCCTCCCCATCCCATCCCTCTGGGTCATCCCAGTGTACCAGCCCCGAGCACTTGTCTCATGCATTCAACCTGGGCTGGCGACCTGTTTCATACTTGATAATATACCTGTTTCGATGCTGTTCTCTCAGATCATCCCACCCTCGCCTTCTCCCATAGAGTCCAAAAGTCTGTTCTATATCTTTGGTGTTTTAGAAAAAAGTTTAGGGCTGAGGCCAAACAGGGTGGAGTGGGGAAAGCTTGATGGCAGGGTGGCCATTTGGAAAGCTGCTGGAGTAGTGTGGGCCAGAAATAATGGCAGCCTGAATTAATTAGTGGGTGAGGAGAGAGGCCTCAGATTCTACCTTGGATTTTTTGCCCAGAGGCTAGATTTTTCATGCTGAGTTAAACCCAGGGAGACTTGTTTACTTCTGGTTTGGAATAATAGAGTAGATAATTAGGTTTGGCTGATAGGTGACATTACCTTGTGTTAAAAGTCACTTGCTCTGTTTTCATCAGGATTTCTAGAATTATCTACTCTTGACAACTACATAAAGATAATATATTGATGCCCAGGGAAGTTTAATAATGCCTGAATGGACTCACGCATTTTAGAAGTCAATCTTAACTTCCAATATGTCCTCTTTTCCCTTCTAAACCTGTGAAGCTTACCATATTATGCCTCTTAAAGTTATAATATTCATTTATAATTAAGAACTTGTAATACAGAAACAGAGAGGCACAAACATAATCATAATTATTAATAGTATGGATATAAATACTTCATTCCTGGATACCAGGTATTATAATACTATCTTAGTCTTCAATTAAAAAAGAGCTTAGAGTGACATAAAATAATGATAGTGATATATTTTAAAGTGATTTATGCTTCTTAAATTCTTAAGAAACAGGGCAGGGCAAATTATGTACTTGTTAAATCAGGCAGCATTTTTATGTAGGAGAATGATGCCTAAGAGTTGCAATGTATTCTATTAGATGTGGTTTGCTACCAAAATGAATGCCACTGTGATGGAGAAGAGTTTTCATTTTGGGTGCCTCTTTATAGGGCTAGACAAGGGCTCACAAATGTTAGCTGCTTCTACCAGAAAGGATGTCAGTTGAAAATAAGAGCTTGGAGCATCTGGGAGTATAAGGTCATGAAAGAAAGAACTAAAAAGTACAGTATCCTCTCTTCCCTACCCCTGGCATAGTACCTATGCATACAGTGGCCTTAATTTTCCACTCAGAAAGACTGTGGCCTGGAGTCTGCTTAGCTAATCTGTGCAGTCTTTGAAAATCCAGAACACACAGTAACCAAATCTATGGGCTCATGTGGATCTTTTTCCAGAATTACTCAGGAAAGAAAAGGCTTCCCAGTCTGCCCTTTTTTCCCAAAGGGACTGATCAGTGTTCCTTTCCACACCCAGTTTGTGGTGTGGTTGCTATCTAGGCCATGTGTTCTCAGTCTTGTGTGATAGGTTAATGTTATTTACTACTGAAGGTTTTTAAAAGCATGTTATTTAGGTTATAAAGTTGCAGTATAATAAAAAGGAAGAAACAAACTTTTTAAAGTCATTCGTTTAATTTTGCTGTTACATCATCTATGTTAATGCTGTCAGTCATCTTAACACTGAAAACATTATTGTTATATTTTTGGTCACTTCTAAAACTTTCTTCCAAAACACTGACCTGCATTACCTTCTTCTCTAATTTTAATAGCATAATTTTGTGTTCTTGGACATTTCTATTGATCTTTATCCAATTGGAAGATTGATTTTTGAGGTAAGAGGATTTTGGTGGTTGTTTTTTAATAAGTTGGGGAAAGTAAGAATCTCTGTCAAAATGTTTAATCTTTGAAAACTTTTATCTTTATTTTTAGCTATATTCTGATACATGTCCCAAAACATGTAAAAATTTTCAGATCTTGTGCACAGGAAAAGCAGGGTTTTCCCAAAGTGGCATCAAGCTACATTACACAGGTTCCATTTTCCATCGAGTGGTACGGAATGGCTGGGTACAAGGAGGAGGTGAGTTTGAAACCTTAAATACAACTTAGTTGTAACATCAAATCCGAATATCCAAACTTCTGTTTATCTGCCTCTTTGAAATTCATATAGAATTAGAATATATTTAACATTAGATGTTATATAGATATATTTAAAGGATGGTCAAATGATGAATTAAGATATTCATACTCTTTTTAAAAATTCCATCATTATTAAAATAAATCTAAAGTGTGTTACTAGGAATATTGCAGATTAAAAAGTGATATACCTAAAAGTAGAGTATATGCAAAATACAGTGCTTTTAAGATACATACTAAAGGTAGGAATTTGAAAACAGAATAAATGAAAAACAGCTTATTTCTCACCAAAGATGTTACCCTGTTATAACTGAAATAAGATCAAAAGCATTTTGGTCTCCATCTTTGCTTTCTTTCCAGGTCAATCCTTTGGCTTTACACAAAGGAGGTACCTTGATTAGCAACACAAAATTCAATTTTAGAGGCCTTTTAGGAGATAGCCCATAGGGAGCAATCAGGCAGCAATTTAGAAATAATTGGTTTAGTGTGGAAGGAGATTTTCTTGAACTTGATGAAATATGCAAAGGCTGAAATTAATAATGTTTGATTATTTTTCTACAATCTGGAACATTCTCAGGCTGATGAGGAGAAAAATATAGATTTAATCTAAGTATCCTGCATGTAAATCAGCTCTTATATGTAAATCAGTTTCTCCAAAATGAGATATCACCACTACTATTTCTAATCCAGTTGTTTTTCTACTTAATTTTTATGGTGTGTGCTAAGTCACTTCAATCGTGTCTGCCTCCTTGTGACCCTATGGACTGTGTAGCCTGCCAGACTCCTCTGTCCATGGGATTCTTCAGGCAAAAATACTGGAATGGGCTGCCATGCCCTGCATGGTTGGGGATATTCCCAACCCAGGGATAGAACCCATGTCTCTTACATCTCCTGCATTGGCAGGCGGGTTCTTTACCACTAGCGCCACCTGGAAAGCCTGGTCATATGTCAGTGTGGCTCTGTGCAACCCTTTGGACTGTAGCCTACCAGGCTCCTCTGTCCATGGGATTTTTCAGGTGAGAATACTGGAGTGGGTTGCCATTTCCTCTTCTTAGGTGTCTTCCCAACCCAGGGATCAAACCCAAGTCTCCTGCATTACCCCTGAGCCACTGGGAAAGCCCACATCAGTACACATAAATGCATAACATTTTTATGGGCACTTTTGAGCATTGTCTTATACTAACAAAAAATGAAAGACAGTCTAAATGTTCACCAATGGGAAATTAATTAAATCAGCATAGCAGTATAATGAAAAATTGTGCTATGCTGTGCTTAGTTGCTCAGTCGTGTCCAACTCTGCAACCCCATGGACTGTAGCCTGCCCGGTGCCTCTGTCCATGGGGATTTTCAAGGCAAGAATACTGGAGTGGGTTGCTATACCCTCCCCCTGGGGATCTTCCCAACCCAGGGATCGAACCTATGTCTCCCGCATCTGAGCCACCAAGGAAGCCCCTAAAAATTTTATGTGGTTATGTATATTGACATATAAAATGTTTAGGATCTGCCTAGATTTTCATCATATTGCTATGCCAGTTGAAGTAATTTCCCACTGGTGAACATTTAGACTGTTTTTGATTTTTTGTTAGCATAAGATAATCCTCAAGAGGGCCCATATCCATGTCTCCTGATACTTAGTTCAGTGTTGTCACTGATCTTCCAGATGCGGTGTTCTGTTTTGGTTTTAGCTAGACCTCCACTCACCCCTGTTAGCCAGGGCAGGATTTGGGGAAAGTGGACCATGATATTTATTTATTTGAAGTAACATTTCCAAAAAGTGCATAGGTCTCAGTTCATGTTTTCAGGTAACAAAGCAATGATGTTTAAAGAGTTTGGAAAAAAATTCTGGTTAATAAATTCAGATCCAAACTGACATGTATAAGTTGTACCATGTTGGATAAGGAACTTGTCATCTCTGAGTCAGTTTCCTAATCACAAAATGGGGTTAATTATAATATCACAGGATATGGTGAGGATTCAAGGACATGGCATATTGAAACCGCTAAGCTCCATAAGCACCCTCCTCCTTCAGATGTCAGATTCTCAGAGGGCTTTGCGTAGAATTTTGGAGTACAGGAACTGATTGTGGTTTGGTGGTGTGCCTTAGGGTGCTTCCAGGCACTACTGCTTGCTCTCTGGGACCAAAAGGCCCTACAAAGTCTTCTTCCTCCCTCGACTCCCATCTCATCATCTGACCTCTCCCCCTTGCTAACTCTGCTTCACACACAGGGCTCCTCGCTGTTCAAGTATATCAAGCATATGTATGCCCTGAGGTCTTTCATTGTTTCTTGTGCCAGAGATACGTACACCCAGCTATTTCTCTGCATATCCCCCCTGCATCACCCCTGGACCTGTTTCTGGTTTTTGCTAAGAGTTTATCTCAGGAGGGACTTACCTGACCACCCTATTCAAAAACTGCCACCTTCCTCTCCATATACCTCTCCTCACCCCTTTCTGGGCTGCTCTCCTGTCCCCTTACCTAGCTTTATTTGTCTTTCTAGCACTTTTCACCACAGGACATACTATTAATACTTCTTTGTTAACTGACTATCTGTTTCTTTTCAATAGAATATAAGTTCCATGAGGGCAGAGATTTTTATCTATTTCATTCACTGTTACATCCTCAAGTTAGAGAACAGTGCCTAGCATACAGTATTAGTAGATGCTTTTTAAAAGTTTGTTCAAAGAATGAATGCACAGATAAACAGGAAACATACATTTTGTTTGTGTCTAAAGTTGAAGTTAATGAAGATACCAAGTTGTTAAGTCACTTTGGCAGGATCCTGTTTGTGGCTCCCACAAGGCCTACTGCCTTGAGAAGGATCTCCTGAGATTTACTTTAACATATTTGATCATCATCATGGTCATCAGAATGATGGTGAAAATGACAATGAGAAGATGCATTCCGTAAGTGTGTGATGCTGCACACTAATAATGGCCACTAATGAAGGAGCACGGTGCTCCGCCAGGCACCATACATGTGCTCTCCCTACATGGCTGCATTTCACACTCAGAACTACCTGGGAGGCACCTCCCATCATCACTGTCTACAGCAGATGAGGAAACAGTGTTGGGGAAGGTAACCAACATCAAGGTCAAAATCAAAATCATCTGACTTTGGAGTTTACTTTTAACCAATGTTCTGCATTGCTCAATCTGTTGTCACAAGTATAGAAGATATCCAGAGCTGAACCCAAACGGGTGGGTTATGGTCACAAAAAATATTAAATACTGACTGACATGGTGTCAATATAAAATATTCACCTGGGAGATCAGAAGCAAAGGGCGAGAATAGTGGCAAGCATTGGAGAGAGAAAACAAGGGAGTGTCACTGGTGTTGACATAAGTCAGCAGACGGGAATTGCCTGGGCCGGTTCACCAAGCAAAGCAAACTCTGGGAAATTCTGGGAAAAGGAAGGAATTGGTGCGAGAGGACATTCAGCTTCTCCAAACCCGGATCTAGCCTGCGGCTACTGCAGCAGGCTTCTGAGAACAGCCTTGGGCTGTGTGGTGAATGGGGTGGAGGTGGCAGGAAGGAAGTCTTTTGTATCTATGTTTTCTTGCTACCTTTTGTTAATATCTTCTGCTTCTCTTAGGTCCATACGGTTTCTGTCCTTTATTGTGACCATCTTTGTATGAAATATTCCCTTGTTATCTATAATTTTCTTGAAGAGATCTCCAGTCTTTCCTGGTCCATTGTTTTCCTCCATTTCTTTGCACTGATCACTGAGGAAGGCTTTCTTATCTCTCCTTCCTATTCTTTGGAACTCTGCATTCAGATGGGTTTATCTTTCCTTTTCTCCTTTGCCTTTTGCTTCTCTTATTTTTTTTTCTTTAAATAACACAGATACTTTTATTGTAAAGCACTCATACTGAGTTTAAATGGGCCAGTTCTTCAACATTTATTTATTGCACATTATTTGAGGAGGGCCGACTAAAGAACTGAAAGAAAAGGGGGTAATTGTGAGAACACAGACCTCGGAGACCTCTTGTTCCACTAGAGTTAGATTTGATTCAGTTGTAGCTGTACATAGAGGAGTTTTATAGTAGGGTCATTGCCTAAGCCAAAATATGCATATAATGTGAAACAGGTTCTATAAATACCATTGGGAAAAATCTCTATATATTGCAAAGGAACCTCAGTTCTAAAACATGAGATAAATAAGTTATCACTATAGAGTTCCAAAGAATAAAAATTTGAACATTAATTCTTTCTAGAGTATCTATTTTCAGTTCTGTTCATTTCAGTCTCTCAGTCATGTCCGACTCTTTGCGACCCCATGAACAGAAGCACGCCAGGCCTCCCTGTCTATCACAAACTCCTGGAGTTTACTCAAATTCATGTCCATCAAGTTGGTGATGCCATCCAGCAATCTCATCCTCTGTCATCCCCTTCTCCTCCTGCCCCCAATCCCTCCCAGTATCAGGGTCTTTTCCAATGAGTCAGCTCTTCTCATCAGGTGGCCCAATACAGTATACTAATGCATATATATGGAATTTAGAAAGATGGTAATGACAACCCTATATGCAAGACAGAAAAAGAGACACAGATATATAGAACAGACTTTTGGACTCTGTGGGAGAGGGCGAGGGTGGGATGATCTGAGAGAAGAGCATTGAAACATGTATATTATCAATTATGAAACAGATCTCCAGTCCAGGTTTGATGCATGAGACAAGTGCTTAGAGCTGATAACTAGGATGACCCAGAGGGATGGGATAGGGAGGGAGGTGGAAGGGGGGTTCAGGATGGGGAACACATGTAAATCCATGGCTGATTCATGTCAATGTATGGCAAAAACTACTGTAATGATGTAAAGTAATTCGCCTCCAACTAATAAAAAAATAATAATAATAATAATAAGGAATTTTCCACAGTTTATTGTGATCCACACAGTCAAAGGTATTGGTATAGTCAATAAAGCAGAAATAGATGTTTATCTGGAACTCTCTTGCTT